CACACACACACACACACACACACACACACACACACACACACACACACACACACAAGTAGGAGCCATCAGGCTGACAGCAGACTGATGGGCCCTGGAAGATTAGACGCTGGTCCAGGGTCATTATTACACTTAGTAAACACTGTAAAGGTGAGTTTATGGTCTCAATCGCTAGTTTCATGTCTTCTTCAATACAGCACGATGTTCATTGAGTAAATTATGGTCCCATTTGGCTTGGCTACCTTGTGAATGACAAGCTGCTGCCAGGGCTTTGTCCGGTCAGGGAGTTGATTGTGTTTTTGTCTTAGAACTTTTAAGTTCATGAAAGTTATTTGTATTTAGGTCACAGCTAAAATGAATTATTCAGCATATGGCTGTACCTTCACTTAAAGTAACAACTAAGAACAAAGATGGCGACGGCTAAAATGCCAGACTCGAGGCTTCAAAACATGGATGTAAGAGAGAACTGCATATACGTAGCGTTGGAGGCGGCGTCCCATTCATTCCGATGACAGTTGCTCATTGGTGCATGAAGCAAAAAGTGTTTGGCTTCCGAGTTATAGTTACCATTATCTTAGAGAGTATTAAAAGGAAAACAAGTAATGTAAGCTCATGGTGTAACGTCTGTAAGGTATCGCAATTAAAGTCATCTTCAGGAACTGTGTGTGGCTGGACTCACGCCTCAGTGTCCACTCAGGACTGCCTTTTCAACACAAACTCCAGGTTTACGTAACAACGCTGCCATTTTCTAACTTAGAAAGACTGAAAATAGCAGTCGAATTGGATTACTTCTGACCCCAAATTTATTTAACAGCTCAATCAAGACAAATCAATAGAGCTTCACTGCCAGCCAGAATGCTAAAGCAGAGACAGCTATAGGCATTTGAGCAGTCAGAGCTGGAGGTCCAAAGCAAAGAGTTTCTGACTTAAAGCTGCATTCACAATGCAAATATTACCCAATATGCTTTGCTTGTATTAAATTTGTATTGGCCAACTATGCAATAACCACATATAAAATGATATCTGAGGAAAAAAGAAGCCTGAAGAAGTTAAATTCAGGCTTAGAGAGGAGCTACGGGACATCAATCACATCGTGAAACGGGCCGATCCTCCAGACTGCCACGGGCCCTTCTCCTACACACATTATATCTACAGTAGATAGTGTCTAACAGAAACCAAGCTGCAGGTTATGTGGTGGAAAGAACTCAGCTGCTCACAGACTGTTGAAGCACCAAGACAATGAAACTCAAAATATAAAGGGACGTCTTCAGCGTTGGAGTCGATGGAGCTTTTGTGACAGAAACTACAGAAAACGTGTCTGACGACAGAAAAGTCAGAACACTTTAGTTTATTTCAGATGAGAGGTTTCAAATCTGATCCCAGCACACTGACATGGTGCCAATGAAGCATAATAGCAGAGTTTCTGAGCGTTAACTCTTAAAAAGATAAATAGAGAATACCAGAATCAAGGTATTCCCAGTCAAAACTTCATGCCGATGCATCAACTCGGTAGCTATGTTATACCTTCCATCTTCAATACTCTACATCTGCAATTATGAGAAATACAAGCTTCTGAAGAGCAACCGTCCTACAACAGTCTACCGGCCCTTTAATGCCTTTGCCCATCTTCTGTATTGTGAAAACAGTGGATTTCCACACAGTCGGAGAAATAAAAAAAATAAATAAATAAAAAAGGTAATTCCTGGTCATAGTTCAGTAATAAAATTCAAGCCCACTCCGGGTTTATCTCCCCTGCTGCTGACAGCGCTGTAAGCCAAAGATTTATCCACATAGGATGAGAGAAGAGGAGTTTTACCGTCTGGTTCAAAAGTACTGAGGAAACTTATTTTTGCTTTGAACGAGTGAGAACGATCCGCACAGCTCTGCGTCGCTCTGCCCTGCGTTTCCATCAAAGCTAGTTTTGTAGTTCATTTAGGTCAATTAGAGAGAAGACTGTTTGCAGAAGTGTATAGCCTGCCATGTTGGTAGCATGCATTGCTATGTGTTCAATGATGGAGCAAAAAGGACAGGGATTCGACTGACAAAATGTGATGTGAATGGTGGAGGCCTGTTTGTTTTTCCTTTAAATATACTTTAAATTCGAATGTAGCTTATTTAGTTATTGTTTACTTGAAGCTGTTATAATCAATATTTTTTACCCAAATAGCCATTTCTTTCCCACCGCTGTCGCATAGTTTTTGGTTGTAGCAGGCAGCAGTTTTCCTTGAAAAGCTCTAAAAACCCACTGTATACAATGTTCGTATAACAATCCCTGATATTAGTTTTAAGAGAGCTCAAAAAGCACATTTTGCAGCCATGGTGTCAGGTTGGCTTAAAGGCTTTTTTTCCTCGACACCACAAACCAAATCCGAACATATAGGGATGGGTATCGTTTGAATAATTACAATACCAGCACCAACACCTGTATCCCTATTGTGATAACGAAACTAATGGAGATAATTAATAGAGCTAACTTTTTTTCTACTTCATCCAATACCCATCATGTAGAAATATTCAGTTGCGTTAAATACCACCAAATCTTGTTTTTCATCAGACACCAGATAGCCATATTTTTGAACATCTTGTTGGCATCTCGGCACATTGGACTGCCAAGTCCTTCAAAAACACCACGCCACAGACGAGCTGTTCGGGTTGTAGCTGCTGCGGTCGTGCGCCAATCGCACGTCGTATCAAGTCAAAGAGCGCTTGCGGTGATTGGCAGCGGGGCTCATTTTTTTCTAGATCTGGCTACAAAACGGATCGAATGCAGGCATCGTTTGACTGGAATTTGAAGTTTCAATACTACTGGGCTACTTTGGTCGATACCTTAAAAAGGCATCTAATACTCATACCCAGCACTACAGTTTAGAACGGGTCGATTTTGATCCGTCTGTTCTAGTTTAGCTGAAACTCCCCAAATCCCAATTAAACTTGACAGCATACTTAAGTTGTCGTAGTCAATGTTTTACGGTCAGACGGACACAGAGCTATGACAGCAGCTCTCCGTCCCACTGAGACACACACGGATGAATACTGATCTGACAGTTCCGGCTGCCATCGCACAGCCACCGATTCCAAACAGCACAGATGCGGTCCAAAGCATGTATGCAATGTGGGGTTATTTTTGCTCTCACTACTACACTACATGCATCAGATCTGTGTTGCATAACAAAATTAGGGTTGAGATACATTCGGCTACAGCATTGGTGACAAAGCGGCCCGGCAGGAAGACAAGGAGAGGAGCTGAGGGTTAAACATCTGGAGGAAGAGGCAGAACCCGGCAGGGGATATTCAGAAGAGAGGACAGGGAGCGCGTGGCCATTGGGGGCAGTTGACCTCCATGACAATAGTAGGCAGAAGTGTGTGTGTGTGTGTGTGTGTAAGAGCAAGCCTCTTGGGTAAGGATGCGCAAAGGGAGATGGATCGACTGTGACAGGAAGCCACGTCAGCACCGCCGGCAGAGAGGGGAGCATATGTCAAGAGGGAAGACATTAGAAGAGAAGCAACATTAAGTCAGAGGACAGAGCGTAATAACTACACTTTTTTCAACAAGTTAAATGTTATCAATTCATTTTCCATAATCAAATGATGTGATCATTTCTTTAGTATATAAAATGCAGCCCGACTGTCTTTATTGAACAATCTTTTTGGTTATTAAATCATTGTGATCAATATAAAACATATAACGATCAACTTAAGAGTCTTTTGCTATTTTTGACTTGACTTTGACCGCCTTTTGTTCCCGACATCAATCATATCTGTGCCGACATTTCGTTGAAATTATTAACCTACGTATAAAACGCTAGTCCATATATCCGTAAAAAGCTAATATCCTGCCCATTTATTGGTCTGGAGCTGGTATACACTGTGAAAGAATTCTGTGTGGCAAGTTTCCAAAGTCCAAGGTGAAGTCCTTGGACTGCTTCTTTTGTCTGAACAGCAGCCTAATACCCACACACTCATTTTATAATTCTATAAAACAGAGAAAAGCTGCAAAGTGTCACATTTGTGAAGCTGGCTGAAACCAGCTAAATGTTTGGAGCCTTTTCTCTATAAATGACTTCAGCAGATAATCTTTCATCACAATTGCTTATTTTCTGTTGGCCAACTAATTGCTTTAATGACTGATTGATACAGCCCTAAATTTAATAACTACTTTGAATATCAAATTTGGATAGAAATCAAGACCACAAATAGAAACAAGTCTGCTCTCTGAATGAGAGACTTTCACTGAAACAAAAAGAGAATGAGGCTTATTCAGGAAAAAGAAGCAGACATGAGGGAGGCAGAGAAAAAGATATTAGCCACAGGAATGAGAGTGAGGAGCAGAAAAGACGGGAATGTCACATCCCACTACCAAGGACGGCGTCTTAGACTCAAGCAGTCTGCCTCCATTACACACGCTTTGTGTTGCGTATTCAATTCACAAGTAAGATCAATTAATGGCTACCCATCTGATTGATCGGCGCTAATTAGCACAGCCGTGCAGGATGCTAATGGTCGTTGAGGTAGGTCGGGAACGCTCTGCCAAACACAAGCACTCCAAGGTCAGAACTGCAGCAAATTTATGTTGATGACAGAACAGCTACCATTGTGTTCTGCCAGGACACTCCACTGTATTGCCCGGACGTTTAAGTGCTAGGACAGCAGCGCGTGTATCATTCTCTCATAAAGCATGTTTTAGCTTATTTGCTTATTATCTTTAATTACTGAGCACAAGCAGCATAGCAAATCTAAGTCAGAGGGAGAGCTCGTCAAGAGTGGGTTTGGCTTGTGATCCAAACATCCACTTTTGAAAAAGCGACAATGTTGCCGGCTCAGTGAGGAATGGGGGATTTGGCGACGGTTGGTGGGGATGGAAAGCATTCGTTTTCAGTGTTTCTATTTTCAATTCTCTGGAGCCATATGGTGTGCCGTCAAGCTGGCGAAGGAAGAAATATCTATTTGACGCAAAATACCAGGGCTTACAGCAGCGAGGGGGGGGGGGGGAAGCTAAATACACAAGGGAGTTGAAGAAAAAGGAGCTCCTTCTAGTTATTTTCAGAGCTGAACATATTGTGATTAGGTGTTGGCAACATGATGAGATGTGCAAGGAAGAGGGGACTCACCCTGTCACCGCCAGCAAGACAACTGCCAACAGTGACAGGACATTAATCAACTCCTCACATACAAGCTCCCACATACTCAATTAGAGGAAGTTTGTACACAGACCCCGTGTAGCACAGGCTTATATATCCACCGTCAGTAACAAGACCTTTCTATTCACAAGCCGTGGCCTGGTCTAGTGGCAAATGGAAAAATGGGTTTCTTAGAAGATAAACACAGTAGGAAGATTAGATTTTGTTGGAGGCACAACTGAAATCAGACCACTAGAGAATATCCTAGACATCAAACCATACACGAGATTCAATCACAGCTAGTTCTTCAGATGAGTGCATCTGATCAGCGGCAACAAAAGACGCCGCCAGAGTGGCATGAAAACAAAAGATATCTCAGAGAGTGCGGCGCACAATATGACAGCTAATCAACAAGAGGAGAGCCGTCAATAGGCTTTACGGACATTGGTCATTCTGCTGCAGTGCTGATGGATTATGGTGATAGGGAGGGAGATGACTCAGTCTTCATGACTCCCATCCTCCACCCAGCAGGAGCGCTAGCCGATAATCGAAATCTCTGACAGGGGTCGTCGGGTCGATGAATGTGTTTGTGCGCCGTTCATGTGGGCGCATTTAAAAAGGAGGAGGGGGGTAGACAGAAAAACATGTACAAAGATGAAGAGACAAAAATAAAAGAGCCAGCCGAGATATGAAGCCAAGCAGCAGACGGCGGAGACTGGAGTGGGAGCGTTTGTGTGCAAGCGCAATTGCTTCTGTGCATTGAAAATGACAGACTCCGTTTACTTTCACGTGAACAGAAGATCTGAAACCGGCCTGCATTTACCAGGCTTTTGAGGCAGTCCTCAGCGATCAATTTCCCAGAGTGCCGCTGGGTGTGGAGACCCGTCCTGTTCCCCACCACAATACTCAATAAGCGTCTGACAGGGCTCAGGCCTGTGGTGAGCTTCATTTCTCTTCATTTCTCTGACTGCGACTCCTTTATATACACACCAAAGTCCATGTTGATTCCAGCAGCAAGACCAGAGGATTGTTTCAGATTTGTTATTTTTTTTAACACTTACTTGGTTCAGCTGGATCTGACCTTTGTTACCAATATTGTAGACCATTGTTCTGGAAACACCACAAAACAGCTGCTTTGATCCACTACTTTGGCTCTAAAAATCGCACGGCCAGGTTATACACCTTGTCTTTATATATTTATACTTGGCCTTAGTTCAGCAACTGAAATTACTCGGGATGCGTTTAAGCATTTAAAGCAAGACACTATCGCTCAACACTAATTCTCAATTAAAATAATACAGTGTTGGAACACGACTAACCAGCTCTGCAGCCAAAATGGTAATTTATAATGGCCAAAAACAGTCAAACATTAAATACTCATCTAGAATGAGCGTTTTAATTCCTAGAATAACAACAATTACCACAGTTAAACATATACTATTGACATATTCTTATGACATATTCTTATTCTCTGACACTTTGTATTTGTCCACTTGGCAAATCCAAGTCCAATATTCCCTTTCAGGTCTGTTTTGCATCTCCTGAGTGAAATATCTGTCTCTTTGCTGCTAAATTCTCCATTATCTTCACCAGCTAGTCACTAACTTTGGATGTCTGCTGCTCGGTGCTTAGCGAGTAGTGTACTGTGGGTTTAAAACAACATTAAGAGTGAATCAGAACATTCAATCCAATACATCTACAGCTGAAACTGTTTCTACAGATTTGAAACAGCCCTTCTCTGACAGTCTTGTATTGGATAATACTGTGTTGATGGTCATGTTAATGTATTAAAGTATGGCTTTCTCAGAGGCAGCTGAACCCCAAATGTAAGCACCACTAATGTCTGCTCTTGCCTGAGGCAAGATTAATGTGACTTCTTTATTTTTCTGAGGCACAAGTTGAAAGGGAAGCATAAAAAAAAAAATAGTATATTTAAAAGGCTCTAAATGCAAAATCTTACAATAGTGATACAGAAGACCCAAGACCATCTATTCTGAATGCAGAGCGCACGCTCTAAAAGGTGGAAAGAGGAGAAATAGGTGTTCATTTGTGAAGGTCGCCTCAGCTGCAAGCCGCAATCTATTTGGGAACGAGGTGAATGCACAATTCCTCGCCACAATCCTGCCTATCCATTCTGCTGGATTTCACGGCGGCCCCTCCACACCGAGACCAGGAGGCACTTGCATTTCACACTTAGAGCTGTCACCATGGAAACGACACAAAGACATCTGTTAGTGGATGTTGCATGTAATTTCTGTTCCGTGTCCAAATTAAGGAAAAACCCGAGGACACCCTTCAAATAACAAAAAACACAGGAGCCAGAGTAAACGGGTTCCCACGCAAAAAGCATGAAAGATGACAAACGTGAAAAGAGGAAGTTCCATCCCAAATAAAATGTCGGGGGTTTCATCAACATGGACCTCTTCATGTGGTTTTGAGTGTCCTCGAGTGACCCTGGTGTTTTGTGTGGGACTCTTACCTGATGGATTATCTCAGACACTGGCAGCTGGTCCACATATGAGTAAGTCTCTTTTTGCAGCTCTTCATTCACAAAACTGAAAGACAAAAAACACACAACAGCACTCCGTTAGAATTAGAGCTCCAAACTCCGTGGCCACCTTAACTACCCATGATGCACTTTAATTATTTATTTATTTTTGAAGTTTAAAAATGAGTCAATAGCAAAGAAGCAATCAATCAAATTTGATTCATACTGCGTCTCAGTCGCTACGATTAGTCCTCTGATGGTGCATCATCTTGGTGACTCTTTGCCAGTTTAGAGAAATATAAACGAAAATTCTGCTTCTGCTTTGCCTTTTACTGTGGCATGAGCAGTGAGGCAATAAATTACCTGAATCCACAAAGAACAGTGGAAAACGTTTCTATAGGAGGGTCAGTAATAACAAAGAACGCGGAAAAATGACAGAATATGTTCGATATGCGACTTTGGATTGCAACGTGTTTCAGACTATCCAATTTACCTGAATCAGTCTGTACTACCAACATTGGGCGGTTATAATGGACGTGTAAACATGGTCATGATGTGTAGCCTTGGGTCTGATCGACAACTCAACCGATTTAGAATTGCACTCCTGTTGATGCCGCAGAACCAGAAATATCTTTGTTTTTCCACGCATTCGTCAACCTGGTCAAAACCTAGTGCCTAGATTACCCACAATGCCACTCCAGCTGACAGATGCGTCAGAGATTCAAGCTAGTTGCACTTGTAGCGGCCTCGAGCAGCGATGAGGAGCGTGCTGCAGAGGTCTGGTGAGCTCACTTCTTTCTAACTCGACACCAACAGATTGTTTTCCCTTTCAAACTTGTAGTCTTCCACACCAACTGAAGCTAATTCAAGTGGCATCACTTGAGGCAATTAATCAGACTTCAGCTCCAACAAAAGGCGCTACACTACGTTTATTCAGATATTTAGCAGCACTCCCCAATGCCTGTAAACAAACTGATGTGTAAAATCAGTGATTCAAGTTGCCCAATGGAGTATGCGTAAGTAATACCAAGGTGAAATGTCATTAAGGATTGCAGTTAGAACAGCGCCTTAGGAGGCACTACACAAACGGTGAAGTTAAATCTTCTATCATAACTATAACGTATGAATACAACAGGGAACAGTTATATTTGTAGAGTCCTGACAGTTTGATATTATTTCAGCTGTCCCTTTGCCTACTTTACACTGCAGGAGCAGAAAAGACTTCCATAAAAAAAGGGTACATCTATGTTTCCTCACTCTCAGCTCCTCCAGAAGCCTCCTCTCTCCTCGTCTCCTTAAGGGATTGGAAGATCTTCCATGAAGGTGGAGGAATGATTTCCGACTCACGAGAGGAAGTTAGCGTATTTAAATGCATGCCCTAAAAGAATGAAGTCATTTGTGTTTCAGAGTCTTGTTCATGGACACTGAGAAAGGTAAGCAGAAGCCCGTTAATGAATAGATATCGTTAACGTGAGACAAGATGTATTAAACCTGCGACCTTTAAAGACACAGAACTGGCTATCCAGTCACAGAGCCGTCCTGCTTCCATTGTTGTCCAAAAGCAATTTAAAAAAGCCCTAATGAGCCACACTGGGTTACATGTTCCATCATGACAATGAACACAAGGACTGTAATTAACTTTGAGTCAACCCCGTAGACTCCATGTTGCTGCTGTAAATACTCACTAGAGCACCAAATCCGCATCTGAAAATAGTACGACAAACAAATACACAATTTACTCCCGTTGCATTTCGCTGCAACACTACAGCACCCGGCTGTGTTAGGCTTACTTGCTGAGCCTTTTTAGAGATGGAGCTTCATATTTGAGAGTGTTTTTAAAGATTCAGTGAGAATGAAGGGCTCCCCGTCATTGCTTTTCTGCTCCACACCTATTGGAATGGTAACTTCCCGTCTGGTAACTCTTCATCAGACAGATCTTAGAGGAACAGTCTGTGAGGCTACTGGCTACCGTTTCATTCATCTTCATCTTGTACACTCTGAACTGCATTAACCATGTGTTCTTGTAGGTTTACCATCATCCGTGTTCAACAACAAAAAAAAAAAAAAAACATAAAAGCAAGGAAACAGTTCAAACACATGATAAACCAAATTCATCAATGTGGATTCACCACTACTGTGATGTGCCGTTTTTAAATGTTTGAATCCTTCTGTGAGACTTTGTCTCCAACATCACGGTCGCACATACAGAGTGAGGAAGAAGAGTCTCAGCTAAAGGTCACAGTGGAGTAGAGGTTTGACTGAGAGGCCGTCTTTGGCTAATCAAAGAAAGTTCAGGTCAGACAGCTGCTGACAAAGTGGGCCATATCCCAGAGTGAGCCACCACTCGCTGTGTGAAGCAACCCGTTTCCCTTTTTTCTTTCCTCCGAGTTACTTTTCTTCAAATTCTTTCTCTCCGGCTTTTGGACTCTTGCCCTTCCTTCGTTATTTTCCCGTCTTTATCCCTTTTTTTAAAATTCAACTCCAGTTCTCTGCCAGTCTTTCTTTTCACTTACGTCTGTGCGGTAGGGCAGAAGTTGCTCTGACAGACAGGAACAGAGACAGAAGAAAAACAGGCAGAGCTCTATGTGCACCGAGCTCTTACTGCCAGTGGAAATGTGTCACTGAGCAACGACGACTCACCGCCATTTCCCCACTTTTCACTTGGCATAAGAGATGAATTCTAATTCGATTCAAACCACTTCCTTCTTTATTTTCCTTATAAATCTTTCAATCCACTTAGCTGACTCTAATGGATGCGACTGCCCCTCCACACCTCCAGCTCTGGTGTCGCTGCTGCCTCCAGCGGCCTTCTTTGGGTCAAACATTTCTTCTTAACATCTGCTCTACTAATGACCCAAGTGGAATTTGTAGACTCTGTCCAGCGCTGCAGGTCACAAATTCCATTAAATGTACTTTATTACTGAAATGTGCAATTAACTCAGCTTTAATTTGATCATTGATATTATCCTTGGAGCTTTGTGACCCACAAGATGACATGTTGTGGTCAACAAGTACGAATGGCTGGAAGCGAGCAACTACACAATGTCATTCCACTGTTAAGCCCCGTGTATAATGAAGAGGATTGAGGGGGTCCATTAAAACGTCCCCTCCATCAAGAGCAATTCACTTAATGGAAGCGCTGGTTCCGAGGGAAAAAGCAGCCATTTAGAAATGGGTGAGAGAATAAAAACGGGAGGAGAGCGAGCAAGAGAATGACTAAGAGACTCCGTCTAACCAGCTTCTCTAAATATCCTGTGCATCTTGTGGCCGGATGAGAAGACAAAAATAGATTAAAAAGCGCGACAGACAGACAAATATATAGAGATAGATATATAAAATTCCAGCTTGTTTCAGAGGACATCTGTGATATTTTTCGCTCTGGGCGAACAAACCGAGTTTAACACAACCCATTTTCAGGTCTTATGAAATGCTATAATTTAATTTTTACCAGAGCCGTTCAGACGGAGGTCTTCTCACGAGCATTCTCATTTATTGCTTTTTTGAGATGATCCAGATGTGTTGACAAACGCTTTAACCGAGCCCAGTCCTGATTTTATAGACAAAAGCCCAATTCATCCGACATTTATTTCTTTAAGGAGGCGGGATGATCACTGTAAGTAGGGCGGCAACTAACGATTATTTTCCCAATTAACCGATTGTGAAACGGATTAAGTGAAAAATGCACATTATAATTAAAGCCTGGGGGGGACAAAGTGAAATTGCATGTCTGGTCTTACCCATGAATCACATCCATAGAGACATTTGCATTTCTGTTGTTGAAGCTGGATTTTCAGTCTCGTGTAACAACTAGAAGAAGTAAAGCCTTTTTTTTTTTCTAACTTGATAGACAAGCTTGTTAACAACAACATGCCATCAACTCATATCATGAGGCTGTCACCTTGAAAACTCCAGTTCTTACATTAGTCTACATAACACCTTTAATTTACATTATTTGATAAGCATCCTGGTGATGAAAGTCAGTTTTTCCCCGCACAACATCCTTGTACACTAAAACTCCCCTCTCAGTTTGCAAAGCCCACCTCCCCGTGTTGTATTAATCTCGTCCAACGCTTAATGATAATGACGCACTTTAATGTGACAAACAAAATGACGGAAAGTGTCGTTAGCCTCCAGAATATCTTTGTGTTTTCCATCATTCCTAAAAGTAGAACGATGCGACTAGTTCTTAGCTGCATCAGTGAACTTGGCTCCGTTGCACATCAAATGAATCCGGGGATTGCTGCTTTCTTACATCAGAATTGGAGATAAAACGTCTCTCTCTAGGACTGAATTAGGGCAACAGCTCGATAAGGCTGGTGATGTGTTTCTGTGTTGCATGGGAGATCAGCCAACCTCACGTGTTGGCCCTGATCAATAATAAAGTAATGGGGGAAGTTGTGTGAAATGACTAAGTAGCCTAAGGCCAGAAGAGTTGATGACCAAAATCGGGACGGCAATTGCCTCCAATTACTCATTAGCAGCCAACCACATTACATTCCTTCACTATAACACCTCCCAGTGGTTCAATTAAATCCCATCTTCATGAAATGAATAGAAGTGGGGGGAGCATAATCAAGAATAAAGGTTTCATTTCCATCATATCTATTTGTATTGCTCTGCAATATTTTCCTTACTCGCAACCTAATGAGTCAATGTATGGAGGACTGTTTGCAACGTGGTGCATTAGCAGTGTGTTTCCTAAAACATCAGCTGATTGTCTTTATTTAAGGGATTAGTGTGTCTGGGAACTCGTATGAGAAAGCAAACAATACGTCACCAGGCGCAGAGGCGGCTGAGCAGATGATGTTTGCAATTACATTTCTTGAATCATCCTCAGCATTTGCAAAACAGTGAGTGCGTTTCTCAAAACAATTCGTACAAACAGCAACACGTAAGGGATTAACTGCAAAAGCTTGCCACTTGCTGAATAATTGTTAAGTTTATCTCTCAAAAGTTAATTTGCGTGTGAATGAACACGTCGGTGCCATCAGAGGGACGAGGCATCGTGTCGTCGTTTACAAACAAGCCTAAATGCTGAGTCATGTCCTACGGTTTTGATGACGATGATAAAATAGGTATGGCCAATTTAAACAGCACCAAATTATACATTACTGTGAGTGGGAGATTGATTGGACAGGATTCACAAATGTCTTTACTGTTTGTAAAGTAATTTGTTGATGCTATGAACTAATGGTTGGGGGGGATAAGACTATTAAAAAGAGAATCAGTATAATACATTTGGATCAACATGACATACGCAATCGATAACATAATCAGATAAACATTTACATGAATAGGTCAAAACATACTGAGATGATGTGCACACGATAGATGATGTGGAGGTTGAATACACATTTTTTGAGAGTTTCATTGCGAATCAGAGAAGTGTACCAAAGAGACTGAAGAACAGTCAGAGTTTGACAGCTCTCTACAGACATCTAGTGGCCAAACGCATTTATCACAGCAGGCATCAAACTGATGCAAAGAGAGAATTTATTGAATTTGGATGCATTCTGTCCAGTGAACACAGGGTGGCACCACAGATGATCCATCAGCGACACTGCTGCTCACTCAGTGCCATTTATGAAGAGTTCCTAAATTACAGCCTGAAGCCCAAAACAATGTCTAATTATGATCTGCACTTTGCTGTGAAAGGCTGGTAGTGATTAGAAATGCCATCTAAATCAGCTGTGTTATTACCTCAACCATGTCATAGGTTGGCCTAAAAAACTAACCCACCTTTAGGGTAGTCTGGGTCTCCCAGAGATCAACCACTCGACACATCATTAGTAGAGAAATCAATCTCACTAATGAGAGACGTTCTAAATGGAAATCAAAGTCTAGTAAGTTGGAAACCAATCGTAAACAAATTTCACCTGCAGCCCTTCAATTAAAACCAAGAGAGGCTTTTACCTCCAACATCACTTCACTTTGGAGCTAAAGGTAATTTAACTTTCCCCAGGATTACTGTAACGATATCTGTAGTGCATTATAATAGCATTTTGTTTCTAAAGACAAGAGTATTGTGTATCGTGCTTTAGAGTAATCAATAAAAAAACAAAAACATAAGATACAGGGTTTGAGACTGATTTGTCGGTGGCAGATTGTTCCAGACGGCCTTCAATGAAAAGGTAGACCTATCGTAAATCAGATGTTAAGGTCCTGGAGAGGACACATATATGCTTTTCAAAGTGTCTTATAAACATGTCTCATATAGAAAACTATGCACAGTTTAGCATCCCACCTACTATTTGAACTTTGCTTTAGCAATCCATCCAGATAATCCAAGACAAACAGATGCAATTTTTTTTCATTACACTCGTGAAAACAAAAACAAATAAACTCGGCTTACTTCTGCTCCACCTGCTCGATGGGGTCGGTCAAGTTGATGGTTTCCATGGTGATTTCGACTTTGCGCACACTACCAAAGAAATCTGTTATGAGGGCACTTCCTGGGTCCCTCAGGAAAAGGTCAGTACGGTGGCCCGGTGTGGACACACACTGACTCTTGGGACATACTTTGAACTGGGGAAGCAGACAAAATACAAGCAGTGCGTTAGTGATATATGTAGTGAAATACACAGCGCACAAACTCTCCCATTACAGACACCTACTCAAGAAAACCAAATAAAATGTTATTAGAATATGTGTGCCTTAATTTTCATACCACAGATAGTACGCAGTGGGCAGAACTGCAGTGGGAGGTGTTGAAATATAGAAAAGTGTGTGGAGAAGATTAGAAGCAAAGAGCATGACATCTGTGCACGCCTTTGTCAACTAAACATCTTTCAGTGGCTGGTGTGTTACCACGCGTGGGGTTAATCCTCTTAATTGTGTGATTCATCAGTGTGTTATCCATTTGAAAAGAAATAGAAAACCATTAAACCGAGGTGAACGTCGTCTCCAACAGCCCAACAGGACTTGAAAAACACACGATTGCTAATTAATTTTGTTGGGAAGGTGGAGACAGTTTTCGGTATCATCAAAGGGCATTTGCAGACTGGATTAAAAAGAACACAAAATAAAACACGGTGAGCTCATCTGGTGAATCCATAGTATGGATCCTGAATTCCACATAATAGCTCAAGAACAAAGAGTGCATCTCCAGGAACAGAATTGGAAAGAATAATAAGCATTCGTCGGAGCGCATCGATCGAGCTCAGACTGAGTGCAGGAGTGAGGATTTGAGGTGTTTTGATTGCATCTCCTGATGAGGCGGGGTTAGGTGAGGAGCGGTCCGTGCGGCCAGTAGATCTCTGCAGGAGTTTAAAAGATGAAAAGGGAGGTGCTGCTGAGATTGAGCCATGGCCCGGAGCAGCATGTACTCACCACCATCATCATCATCATGTGTCAAAAGGCCAACAACCATAACAGCGTATCAGACATTCTGCTTCAAGTGCAGAGTCCTGTGTGACTTTCATCTCCTTTAGCACCAGACAAACGTCTCCCTGTTCCCCACGGTCCTTCGGTCACAAAATATGCATCCTGCATGACTATCTGCTAAACCAACTAACTATTATTTAACAATGATTAATCTTGCAATTATTTTGGGGGTTAACCAATTAATCCATATCAAGAAAAAGACATTCCTCAGAACCCAAATTGTCTTCAAATTGCTTGTGCAGTCCGACCAAAATCCAATTCTGATCAAGTAAGTGCATGCAGCGGTATAAAATATAAAAGAATCAAATCCTCACATTGGAGAAGCTGAATCCAGTGAATGTTTGGCAACATAAATAACTGATATTGTTAACTATTGTTTATTAAGGTTATTTTGTGTTAGTTTGGCCCCTTTTCTATATTCTCACTCCTTGAAAGTGAATAAAAGGTTAATACTGTAGCTTTACGTAAATATGAAATTACATAAAGAAAACACGAACTCGTAAAAAAACAATACGTTTCTGTAAAACATCGACGGCTTCAGTGTGTAGATGTAGCAGAAACACTTCCTGTACATAAAACATATGGAGCATCAATAAGTGTGCATCGTTCACTAGTGCTGAATCAATAAGTCGAAACAATTGTTACTCGTTATCAAGCAAAAACGTAAAAATGTTTATATCATTGACATACCTTAAATACTTTAGTCTCTAAAATATTACAAAAAAGTTTCTCAGAGCCAAAAGTCTTCAAATATTTTGTAAACCAACAATCCAAATCTAAACATATTAATAGAAAACATATAATTGATAATGAAAAACTGCTTTGCTGCTAAATGTCACAGATGTACTCTCTGGCGTTAGGCAGGCAGGCAGGCAGGCAGGCAGGCAGGCAGGCAGGCAGGCAGGCAGGCAG